TTCTCTCTCTCCTCCCTCCCTCCCTCCTCTCTCTCTCTCTCTCTTTCTCTCCCTCTGCTTCGGCGTGGATCAGCCGCAAATTCTGGCCGCTGTTTTATCCGCCAGTTATAGAAACCGGCGACAGTACGGCAAATCTGATTAACCGGTGGCTTGGTCGTTTCGCGTGGCACGATTTTTTAGTGGGACATGCAAACATACGGCCCCTGCCAAGCTCAAAGACGTCCAACCCTGGCTAGAGGGTTCTCCTCTCTCGCCTCCATTGTTATCTCGGACTTTTGTGGACCGTAGAACGGATTGTTTTCGGCCTCTCTGGCGACAGTTTTCATTTTGCCATTCAGAAAACTGCTGGAAAGTTTTTGTTACGCCTTCACTGTTGCCCCGAAGTGTTTGTCCACGAATCGTTCCCAACTTACAAGAACGGAAAGCACTTTCTGGAAAATCCTTTGAAACCGTGGACACGATGAACTTTCCTCGTAATATGTTTTTCAAAATTCTTCCTTTTTTTTTTTTATTATATATATATGAAATATTAACTTTCTCTGAACTTTTTTTAAGGATTGTATCGATAGATGAAACTTTTCTTTCTCTCTGTACATTTATACTGTAATTATACTGTACAAAAATTGATTGTGTTGCACGCGAACGTTCTCTCTCGCGTATATTTCTTTATTTTTCTCATTAAATAAGAGACACATTTCGTGTCGTAAAAACTTTTTGTGGTCGCATCATTAATATAATTTTTAATATTCCCAAACGCTTTCCTTTCACGCCTCTAAAATTTTAAATTAAATATTTAATAATCTCGTGCATCTATCTAAACTTTTCGTTTTCGTTCTCATAAAGTTTTCATAAACTTTCCGTACTCTCGTATTATATTTAGAGATAGTGGCTGCTGATTTATAGAAGGTACACGTTATATTACGTTTTCTTATTGTTCTTATTTTTTTTTTTTGTGAAATTTTTTTTAGATAGAACAAAGGAATCGAGGTATTTTATAAACTGACTCGACATCGAATTACTCCATTCCACGATATGTTTAGAAATAAAGGGATGAAACGAGATAAATTTACTGGGCGCTAGTTTCCTTCTCACGAACTATCATTATCCCCTTAAACAATTGATGTACACTGTCCAGAATTTAGAAGGATAGCGAAAACGTGAAGAGGTCATTAATTTCAATTTGAAAGGATAATCGTGAAAAATGAGAACAAGTCGTGTTCTCGTTTCTCGATAACAACACAAGTTTAAGACAGAACTTAATTTATGTTTTATCTCAATGTTGATCGTAATAAAAACAAAAATTATAATTAATCAAGAAGATTTTTAAACTTCATCATCGAATCGAAAATATTTCACGACATATATAACCACTCTACTAAAAAAAAAAAAGAAAAAACAAACATAATCCCCTTTTTTCTTTTTACTGTAACATCACACAAAAATAAAAGGACAAATTTAAATAACGCCCGATCATTTCCATTCAATCATAGCTAAACCAATTACCTTCTATTGATATTAATCCAATCAATCCATCAAATATTGGAATACAAAATTCCTGTATACAGAATGAAAAATACTAAAATCAAATTTGTACAATCTTCTCGCATCTAGAAACGCATTTAAAAAAAAAAATTTTTTTTTAGAGATCGCGCATCAGTGATTTCCAATTAATTAAAAAAAACTACGAATTCCAATGAAAAAAAAGAGAGCAAGCTCGAGCATCGAACCAATTTTAATTCGGTTTCTGTTTCGAATTTTTCGTCATTTCTCGCTATATTTCGAATTTCGCAAATATCTCGCATCTCTCTCTTTTGTTTCACATTTTATCCGCGCGCGACTCGAATCCGTCCAGATCTCCCCTTACGAATTTTCTACCGATGCTCGACCGTGCTCTGTGTGCGGGGGCGGGAGAGAGAAGCATGGCGGAAATTCTGGTCGGTCGAGTTACGCGCTCCTTTCTGAATTTACGTTACTCGAACTGGCGTGTCTCGGATGGCTTGGAGCGTTGCGGAGCCGGGTAGCTTTTGAAACCGCAACGTTGCGAACTTTCCCCCAAACTTGCCGTTGTGATCTTCGGCGACACACAACGTTTACGCGATTTAATGCAGCCAGTGTGACCGACTTGAGAGAACAAACCACTTTATCCAAGGTTGCAGACAAGGTTGGGCGAGATCATTCAGAGAATTAAAGCTTGGTGGAATGTTCTCAAAGGGGTTGGTTTCTCAACCCTTTCAGTGTTGCAGCAGTTTGATTAATTGTTCGATGATTAAATATAATAATAAGTGCGTGGAAAGTGGTCGTGTAAATGCGAGGTTGCAGAAGAGAAATTAGAATTAAATAGATTAATGAATTAAAGAATTTTTGAAGGTTCAATTTGTTCGACTTTAAAATTTGTTTTTTCTATCTTTATTTCTCGAATTTTTCTTCGAATCGCGTTTTATCTTCGTATTTTTTTTTTTTTTTTAACGTTAAAGAGTAGTAGGATAATATCGAAACAGTAAGTAATAATCGTTCTTTTCAACGGTAATATATTTCAATGGAATAATTAAAGCAATCGTTATTGGAAATCGTTCAATTTTTTTCAGAATATAATAATTACGAATAATATTATCTTCTTTGAATCTGATTAAAACATCGATGAATGCGAAAGATATTGATTCAAATAACAATATTTTAATAGCATGTAAAAATTCTCTTTTAAAGTATCTCGGTACGATTTCAAAAGATTTCTCTCTCCATTAAACAATATTAATAAAGATAAAAATATTCGATCTCTAAAAACTTTGATATACTATCGAGAATTATTTCTACAATTTTTTTGTTTTTATAAAATAATCACGAATAAAAATCGTTTCCAAATGAAACGATGAACTTGTCGTATCATTTTGCTTTTCTATCATTTCATCATGGTAGTTTCGATCGCGACAATTTGTCCGCGTCGAAGAGGTTTCTGAGTGACAAGGGATGCATTATTAATCGATCGAGCAATTACTAGTATAAACTGGGATGGTCCACTCTCGAGCCGCAAGCGCACCACGTCCATTAACGTCGCGAAATTCTGTCACCGGCTCGTCTCGTTTTTATTCTCACTTTTCCCGTTTACATCGCTAAGCACGGCCGAGAGTGTTGAAAGAAGAAGACATTAATTACATTAGAACGAAACACGCCCGCTTGCCTAGACACTTGGCCTAGTAAGAATCCTCTAGCGAGTAAACGAGGCGACGTGCCACGGTCCAGGGACGCGGCAATTCTCTTAACCCTTGTGCATTGTGCACCCTGTCACAAAGGGCTGGTGAAAAATTGCCCGTGAAAATAGAAAATCCTTTGCTTTTGGTTCTTAACTTTCTTACGATTTTAATAATTACACTTTCTACCTTTAACTTAGAGTAGAAAACTTGTGCCGCGATAAGTGAAATCGGAGAATATTCGTATATCTTTATATAATTCTCATTAACATTTCTCCTTATTAAAATCCTTTACGATCGATTTTATGATTCTTCGTTTTCTCCCACTTTCTTATTTCAATTTCCACTATAATTTAAAATGACTTTTCAACACACCTATCAATTGTACAACTTCAATTCTACTGATTATTGTTATTTTCAGGATTAGAAGACTGTTGATTGAGAGGAGAAGAGGAAAATTGCGGATCGGAGAAACTCCAGTGGCTGCAACGGGTGAGTCAATTCAAAACGATTATTTAATCCTTCTTAACAACCGATCGATATTAAATAAACCGGATATTATTAAATTATTTTCCGCCAATTCCTTTAATCCAAGTTTCATCGTTGGATTAAAATCATTCAAACGCGCGAACATAAACGTGAATCACAACACAACGCTGTGACTTGAGATCTTGATCTGAAAACTCGAGGACAAAATTCAGAATTGGCGAATTTCCATCGGAGAATACGAGAATGAAACATTCCCCCCCTTGTTGTGTCGTCCTTTATATCCTTTATACGCTCCATTCGGCTACTTGTTTCGCGCTTGTATTGCCCCTCGAGAAAAGGCTATTACCGAATTGTATCAGAGGGGATTGGGCCACGAATCCTCGATTCCTCCACTTCCCGTTGAACAGGTTAGGTAACGCACGGCGGTCGGAAATGCGAATTCCCTTTACTTCTCCATTGTCCACCGTGGCGCAAAGGGGATGATAGAGGCGGGCAGGGAGGGGGAGAGGCGATGTTTGCTCTTCTGGGAAAGTAAACTCGGGAGCTTTTCATACGCGCGCGACTCGCAGCGCTAACCCAATTTTAACGGTACGACGCCGACGGAGCTTCGTCTACGTTTTCAACGTTGAAAGAGGACCCGGTTATTTGCCTTGCCTCTACAACCGGCCCTCCCCTCCCCCGTCTTTTATGCAAAGTATCGGCAAAGATTGGAAATATCCGTGCGCCGAAAGGGTAACGGCCATCGATGGTTAAAATAATACGGACGTAACGGTCGAAAGAAGGTTTGAAAATATTTTCTATTAGTCCCGGTATCTGTTTCCGAATATTTTTCTTCGGGACCCGTCGAGCGGAAACCGAGGAGTGTTTACTTTGAATGAAACTTTGAAATCTATCGCGTCGTTTGGATAATCGATCGGATGTGTAATATAAATTTTGTTACAACAATTATAATATTCGAGATGATTAATTAAGCTTGAATTAAGCTCGTATTTTCAATCGCGTTTAATTATGATTCGAAGAAAGTGTCGATAATAACTTGATATATTCTAGAAAATAAAACAAACGCAAATGATGTACACGAATTAAGTTATTATTCATTAAATTATTATTATAAAACTGTAATGTAATAAATCAAAGCTTGATCGAGAAAAAACTTTCGCGTAAAGTAGAAAAATATTTAAAAAAAACGTAAAAAGTATATATAAATCCCTCGAATACGGATTATATTTAGACGAGAGCGTAGTCCGCGAAATCCAGGATCCCATATTCGAAACACGTGCACGATCTAACGGGTGACATCGTCGTCGACGACGATGAGGGTATCCATCTAGTTTTGTACCACGAACAAAGTTGTCTAGACGAAAAGATCGGGTTTGGGTTTATAGAGTGAAAGGTACACAGGGCTGGTAACGAAGTTTTCAAAGACAACATCGAGTCTGATATCTAACGAGTTCATTCCACTCGGGTTCCATGGCAAAAACTGCAAGTGGAGATCTCTATCTTGCACCCTTTCCGCCCAGGTCACCGCTCTCCCCCCATCGTACCCATTTTCACCCCTCCCCACCGACCGATGCGCAATTCCCTTTCCGTCCATTATTCAACCGTTGCTCGTGGATTTTAATTTTACAAGGTATTATTGAGAAACGGATAATGCGCTTTGATCGTTCGAGTATTTTCTTATCGCGAATAAGATATCTCGTACAATCTGTTCTTCTTTTTTCTTTCTTACGGAGATGCACGCTCTTACAAAATAAATTTTATAAGATTAAACTTTTATGAGTACTCTTTTCAAGTACAGCTATTATACACGCAAGAAATCAAAAAGAAATTTCTAAACGTGAAAAAATTAAAGTATCCACTCTCGTACAAATTGCTTACCTTTTTTTTTTTTTTTAATTAAAGTGCAGAGTAAAATTAAAAACGTTATCTACATCACGAGATCACATCGTCATGCAAAACGGAAAACTGAGGTTTAACGTGAAAATCACTGGAATCGCGGATAATATTCTTACCTCCGATTCCGGCGACTGAACGATCAACGACGTTCTCGGTGGTTTTTCCGGAGGCACCTTCTTCAACGTGCCGGTGAAGGATGCGGAGGAGACGGCGGTGGACGGTGCCGAAGCGCCCTCGTGGCCGTCTAACTGGCACTGAAGCCGATGGAACTGCGAAAACGAAGCGCGCGATGCGTCGGTGCGCTCGAATTGCGGCAGACACGGCAATGGCATCTGCGACATGTTCGGTATCTGAATAGAATTCGGGTCGCTGGTATCGTGTTGCAGCCTGGGCGATAGCTTCTCGCAGACAGACGATTGGCAGGATTGATGATTAGAGTTCTGTGAATAGGAAGCGGTCAATAACGTTTGATGATGGCTGTGCGGCGTATTCTGCGCCAGGCAACTCTTATCGGATGATTGTTCTTGGTGGTTGGGCAGCGAGTTCGATTGAATCTGGTGGATCTCGTTCCCGATCCCGTGCGATTGAAAATCGGTCGATCTTTGCAATTTGTCGCACAATTGGTTCTGCGCCTGCAGACTTTGCAGCCTGGCCTGCAAGTCGCTCTGTTGGTGTTGAACTGGGCCACCTTGTCCAGGATTTGATTTTGACTCTGAAGACATTGCAGCTTCGCTTGCAGATCGCTCTGTTGCCGCTCGAATTGGCTCAGCTTCTCCGAGATTAAATCCAGACTCTGTTGATTCTGCAATTGTTGTTGCTGTTGTTGTTGTTGTTGTTGTTGCGGTGTCAGCGTGTCGGATTTTTCGTTCTGTGCCGCGTCCAATTGACTTTGAAGATTGTCCGTCTGGCTCTTGCTGTGGGTCAACAAGTTGCCAGAGACATTGTGACTCTTACGATGACTGTGAATTATATGATCCACTTGATCGATCGGTTTGCCCAAGCTCGTTTCACCGAAATCCGTCACCACCGTGAGAACGGTCTTGGTGTCCAACTTGGCTTCGCTCAGGGCTGGATACTGATGACAAATGTTAGGACTGGCCCTTTGAGAGGGGGCCGTGCTGGCGGGGGGTGGTCCCAGATTCGCCACGGATCCGCTAATGGGCTGCTCCTCGAACTCTTTCCTCGATAGTTCCATGTGTTTCGTCAGATCGGCGCTGACGTGACGCAAATGGCGACGTTGCTCCATTATGGTTCTCTGACTGATGTTGGGAATCGGTTGAAAGGCCGACTGAGTCATTCTCCCTTCCTTCCGATCGTCCGCCGCCTGATGGATCTGCCCTCTCGGATCCCTCCTCTCCTCGGACTGATTACGGGAACGCGGGCTGGTAGACATCATTTGATTCTGCATCATGCTCCTCTCGTGCTCCTGCCGTTGGCGTTGCTCGGCCCATATGGTCAACTCCTGCCTCGTCTTCTCGAAATTTTGATTCACGAACGAGGGACTCTTCTGCCCGCCACGATCCGCCGATTCCTCGCGGATCGGCATGAACGGCATAGGAGACCTTCTAACGTCCTCCATTCTTTTCCCTTCGATGGTCATCGGCGACCGCCTGTGTTCGTCGAAGTAATCGGATCGCCTGTTTTCTTGCGGCATCGCCACTCTTTGATTAGGGCTCACGTTGCCCCATTCGGGCTTTCTGTCCGCCCCTATGCTCTTCCTATTCTCTTGTCTCGTATCAAAAGCCATCGGAGATACTCTCAAGCTCGTGTCCAATCGCCTTTGATCAGGCGGATACACTTGATTGGCTTCGACTCGTTTCGGATCCACCATGCTCCCGCCCTTCCTCGCGGGCATCAATATTTCCTGATTCCCGTCACCGGGGAACGTGAAGGTGATCGTGTCGTTCCGCCGCTGGAAACTCGATGTAACGTCCACGGAAATAGATTTCCTGTGTTCAGGCCTGGTCACGTACAGGCCGCAGTCGGCCTCGCACATTTTTTCCCGCCCCGGATCCTCGTTCGTATCCACGTACAACCCGTCCTGACGCGTCCGCGGATTTTGATTAATGGCCGCCAGGTACCTCCTATCCGAGGCATCGGCCACTATCTGCGCACCCTGAACGATTATCGCCCCGTCGCTCCGGTGAATTTGCTGCTCCTGCGGGGGCGGATTTTGACCGGGATCGTATTTAGGCTTCTGCATCCCGGCCACGTCGACGCTCGCCGATTTTCTGTGCCCGGTGTCGTGCGTGATCTTCGAGTTTCCTCGGGGGGGAACCATGGGTTTCGGCCCACGACTCGGTCGCTCGCCAGTCGCCATCGCGAGACCGTGGCTCACGTTTTGGGCGATCGGTTGGATGATCGGTTGGGTCTGGTATTGTCCCAACTCCTGCGAGAATCTCTGAGGATTGGGCGATTGTTGGCCGAACTGTTGACCCGGGTAAATTCCTGCGTGGGGTGTGTACGGTACCGCGTTCATCATCGTCTGGGGATATTGGCTGTAAGGGTATTGGGGCTGGGTACCGTATTGGGCGTAGCCAGGCGGTTGAGGCACCACCACGCCTGAGAAGTACGGTGGCTGAGGACTGGCGGATTGAGGGGGTATTTGCGACCCGTGTTGAACCGTTACGTACTGACCTTGACCGGTGAACATGGGATTCGCAGCGCCTCCTTGGTACAACGTGGGATCCCTGTACGTCACGTCACGGGTCACGTAACCAGCACGCTCCGCGTATTGCGCTTGTTGAGGATACATCTGCGGTCTCACCTCGAACTGGCTTCGTATCTGCGTGTACTGGGTCTGATCGTAATCGGGCATGAACTGGGGTTGCGCTTGAACCGGAAGGGTTTGAGTGCTAGTTTGAGACACGTTCTGCGTTCTCTCCGGTGCCGTAGACTTTTCTTGGCCGTACTGTTGAGGAGGAAGTTGTCCAGTTGGTGGATGTCTGTCTTCGGGAACACCGACCACGGCTTGCTTCCTTCCAGTCGGGTATTGACCGGTCTGTTGAGTTTGCTGCTGCTGTTGTTGCTGTTGCTCTTGGCTCTGGCCGATCGACTTGTTCTGTTGTGCCTTGTCTTGAGAGAATCTGTCATACTCTATGGTACGATTTTCGAAGCCATTTGACAAATCTTGTTTGGCATTATCGGCAGGCGGCTCGGCCCGACCGTTCTGACACGACGTCTGCTGGTTCTCCATCGTTTGTCCGACCTGGTTCTGCTCCTGGTGGCTATCGTTCACCCCTCCTGAACCAGATTGCGACATGCTGGCGGCCCCCACCGACGGTCTTCCGCCGATGTAGCCGAGAATTCGCCCCAATCCGCACACCGTGACGATTTTATCGTTCAACTTTCTGTTGGAAATCTAGATTCCCGCTTCAACGTAATCGTCGCGTTTTTACGTCTCGTGGATTCCTCCAGGTCCACTCGAGGCATGTAAACGTCGATATTGAATGTCGTTCTACCTCCTTTTCCGTGATCCTTATCGAATTTCTCTCTCTCCTCGCCTTGTTTCTTCTCGATCTCGCGGAAACGAATCTCGCGAGAAGATCAGATTATAAATGTTTCTTTATCCCGATTTTCTTGCAATTTTTTGTTTTCTTTTTGATACGATTATCAGATTCGTCGAAATTTTTTTAGTCCAAAAATTTGTCTCTGCTTTGATTGAGTGATTTTTTTTTTTCTTCCTTCTTTGAACGGCTCGAAAAATCAACGAACGAGCTTGTTACGCACGATCTTATTTTTTTTTTTTTATTTTTACATTTTCTTTATTCGGATCGTTCGCGCTCGTTTCTCTCCTGGGGGCTTCGTTAATAAATCGCGGACTCGTTGAATAATATTACGTGAAAATTTGAAACGTTTGTCCAGGCACAAGGTCTTTGAGCACCGCCTTCGCATTTCTCATTTTTTCCAAGAGGGAAGGAAAAAGGGAACGCGCAATTGCGAATGTAATCTATTTTATTGCGCCCCTTTGACGTGATCACCGTTTTTCGTTTCGCAAATCTTCGTCGATTCTATTCTGTCGGCTTTCACTTCATAGTTTTCTTGTCGTCTCGTCGACGAAATTGTATCACGAAGGAAATATATGGTTTTCCTCTTCGCGTCTCCTTGTTCGATAAACAACTGTTACTGATAATTTATATATATATCGTTGAATTATTTTCGCGAATATTATTCTAAAAATCTTCTATTCGCGATTCGAAGTTTATAAACACTTAAATTTTTCTCATAATATTGTATCTTCTACGGATAATTGAGATTCAAATATCGATTGGCTGGTTGTAAATTTCTCGAAATGTTAAAAAAATCGATTATCCCATCACTCTCTTTATACATTTATTATCAGTTCCTTGAGTAATTTTGATTTCCATTAGGCAGTTTTTCCTTTAAGCAACTTTCAGTACTCTTCGAGTTGAAAGACGATATTTGATTTTATTGTTCCAGTTTCGTATCAACATTCTTCCTTTATATATATATATATATATCTAACGAAAGAATCAACTCTTTCTTTTTCGCGGAATCGTAGCAATGATTCATCCAAAAAAAATCTGTAGGATCGATCTGCAAAAGAAAGACACGGAACACGTACTTCTCCATTTCCTGTTTTACATAAATTTCCCTCGCAATATTCGGCGCAAGATTAACATTTCGACGAAAATTTAAAACTAGTTGGAGAGAGAGAGAGAGAGAGAGAGTAATCTCTATTATTCAAATTAACACGTTCAACAATAACCATCTATACCTATACCGCGAGTTAATTAAAATAATTGTTAATCCGGAAAATAATCCTCACCGCTCGAACTCTGTTTTTGCATAGAATTAAAAGTTCATTAATAAGTTTTGGAAATAAATGCAAGAAAACATCGAAATCCCTATTAATTGTGGGGGAGGGGGAAGGCTTAAACTTAGTTCTTCGCGTAAATTAAGGGTCTGGTAATAGTTTCTCCACGGCTTTCTGAACCATCGAGCCGTGACTAACGGAGGCGGAACAGCGAAAAACATCGGAAAGGAAGTTCGAATAAACTGTTGGCCGTTAATTCAGAAATTTCACGACCGAGTTCCGAATAGAGGCGGCTCGGCCAAGACGTTTATTTATCCAAGGCTTCGACAGCGGGCCTCAGAAATGCCGGCAATCGCCGCGTTTCAATTTATCTAACCGACAATGACAAGAGCGAACAAAGAGTTCGCTGCTTCGGGGACGATCTATTTCACTCGGCGGAACGCGAATTGTTTTCGTGATTTCCCAAGCGCCTCGTGATCACTTTAGTTTCAGTAGACGCCCTTCTTCGTTCAATCTTTCATTGGCTGAAATTTACCAAGCGGTAAACGGAAAATTTAATATTGAAAATTTCTTCGATCCCTGAACAAACGAATTCTGTATCTATTTCTTTTTTTCTTCTTTTTTTTTTTGAATCAACAATTTTCTCTCGAAATTATTGGGAATAATTTTTTCGACGAAAAGTCGAGCAGAGAAAATAGGTTAGCAGATGTCGGACGTTATAGGGCAATTAAAGGGGAATTTCTAAAATTTCGTCGCGTTTTTGACCATTCACTGCGTTTTATTGACGATATATCGTTCGAAGAGCGTTGCCTATGGCGAAGAATCTCTGGTAGAAACTTGGATAGAAGGGAAGACGAAGCGTAACGAATTTATCTGTAATAAAAAGTGGTCTATAAATCGGTTTACGAGCAACACAATACCAAATTAACTGGAATATTTATCGAAACGTTTTAACTATCGCTGCTAAATGTTGGTATTAATGTGCTATTAGGGTTTATACCCTGCTTTATATTATATCGAGAATTTCTGGTATTGGTACTAATTATCCCACAACTGATCGAATATTAATGATGAAATTTAATTATATATGAAATAACAAATACTAATACTAACAATCCAATATATCGTCCATCATTGCTTTCGATTATCATTGAATATTCGGGAAATTTTTATTTCAAAAAAATTCGCACAAATCAAACTACGATACTATAATCTTTGTGTCATCTTTAAAATTCAATTTCTTTTTTTCATATTTCATATTTCGAACGAATACAAGTTCAATAATCTCGATTCCCTTATCCGATCGATATTAATTTATTTCGATATTTAAGCAGAAGAGATACACGAATTATTTTCTCAACGAACAGTTGTTCCTTAATTTCGATAATCACAATCATATGCAACACTTCCATAAAGCGGACACGCCAGTTTGCAAGCGACCATCGCCTTTAGATCCATTCGAGGGTTTCACAACTAACACAGTTTACACAAAACCTAGGGATGTGCTTAAAGTGACCATCTCGTTTCGCAAACAAGGGACTCGTAATTCATCATCCCCGGGCTTGCCAACACGCTTTACATCGAGACTAATGACTGGTCTTTATACAGGGGGGGTTGAAAGGTTGACGCGTGAATGCCAGTTTGCGGGCTGGACGTCATGTATCATGAAACATGAACCGGTCGAAGTGAAAATACAGTGTAAATTGAACTAATGGTTTCGGATCGCGTTTATTGTCCATCTGTTTAAGAGAAATCGTTTTATGTATAAATAAGTTAGCGTAATATATCGATCATAAATTATATTGCGATTGCACTTTGGATTTGGTGAAATCTGTTCTTTTTTTTTTTTTTTTTCTATATTAATTATCAATTATCTCGTGAATTTTATTTTACAGTAAACTTGAAACGTTATTTGTTATTGAATAACATGATTTGGAATTTTTCATCCTCGCAAATGATCTCAACAATTTCTATCATAATTTTTATTACAAAATGGGATAAGAATTTAACCAATTTATTAAAATTATTTTTAAAATTAGAGAGGGAAAAAGACAGTGAATTATCATAGTGCTTAGTATAGTTAAATAAAATCATTAATGCTGTTTGTATTCGTGCATTGATTGAATCGTTCTAATTACGAGGTATCGCATTTCTCCTCGTTATTTTTCCTCTTTGATCGTGCACACATTGAAGACTGTAAAGAAATACGTAGAAGGATGCGTAGACGCGAAGGATGCAAACAACTCGAAGATATTTTCTTGAACATGTCTGAAGAAAAATTTCCAGTTACCCGTAGAGAGACAAGTAAATTGCTTTTGTCCTGTGTGGACGTGCATTCTTGTACGGTATACACATTTATGAATTTCAACAAATACATAATCATGTTTACAAATATATACTTTGTTCATTGATTTCAAACAAATTGAATTTCTTCTTTTTTTTTTGTTATTATTTTGTGAAAATTTATGAAGTAATATACAGTGTTATGATATGGCGAATTTCATTTTCTCAATGTTTATATCAAATCATAATTCGTCAAATTCGAAAAATTAAAAATAAATGCATTATTTTTTTATACAATTCCTATTGTATAACAACTATTGTTCGAAAATCAGAATAAACAGAATTTTAAATTAATTTTTACCTATGAATATTTTTATCGAAAATTTAAATCTGAAAATTTGTTCTACCATAACTCGATGTTAATCCAAGATTCATTTTACGCTTACGTTTGTAATTCAAGGGAACATGATCTACATTTGCACGATGCTCACTATCAAGATCAAAATAATTTGATCCAAATGTGCCTAGGTATTTCTGAATGAAGCTAAATATACATACAAATATAACCTGCACGTAATTGTATCAGAGGTTATATTATATATATATATACATCATTGCTGTTCGAATATTTACTTTGCATTTAATTGTATCCGCCCGCTTGTGTACTTATATCGTACTATTCCCGTTTAGTAAGCATATTTTGACGAGCTGGCCGTGTACAAATTTGCCATTTCCACGCATGTATATTATACAGCTATTGCATTGTTGAATCGATTGCTAATTAATTAGCGACAGAATTAATTAAAAACCAACGTGTACTCCATGAAAATATTTTTCGAATGGAGTGATGATAATTCCCACGAATTGTTCGATAAAAAGAAGAAAGAAAATATTTATCGATAATGGAAAAACCAAGATCTTGTTCGTGGCGTGGTAAATTGTGGCGAGGGAGATCTTCTATCTCACGGGGATTCATCCATAGGATCGTATTTCGTTCAACTAATTTGCTTTATCGATCCATCGTTAATGGGTCAACTCTGATATTAATCAGATACCGAAATGAAATTTATAATCTAATTTCTCCATTCGATCTCCACCCGGTTTAGAAATTTATTCTTTCTCTCTTCGAGAACTGGTGTACAATTTCATTTCCGCTGTATGTAGCTTTTAACATCTCTGGATAATAAATAATGTTATCAATTATTTTGCATATTTGTTCCTCGACGATTGCGAATTTCTCGATTTGAGGCGAAAGCCGGCTTGTTTCCTTCGCGCTTCGATTCACGCAAGTCAGCTTTTCGAACACCGCGCGCCAAGTCTTCAATCGCATCTACTAGTTTTACGCGCTTCCCTCCTCGTGTCAAGATTGAAGTCCTTTACGTTTCAAAAAGACCGTGTGAAATGTTCTCTCGTGTTCGCTCTTGTTTATACGCGTTTTGAAAGAAAGGCAAACGCGCTGTTCAACAATATATATATATATATATATTCAATATGTAAAT